TTGATTGATTGATTGATTGATTGATTGATTGATTGATTGATTGATTGATTGATTGATTGATTGATTGATTGATTGATTGATTGATTGATTGATTGATTGATTGATTGATTGATTGATTGATTGATTGATTGATTGATTGATTGATTGATTGATTGATTGATTGATTGATTGATTGATTGATTGATTGATTGATTGATTGATTGATTGATTGATTGATTGATTGATTGATTGATTAATTGATTGGTTGGTTGGTGGTTGATTGATTTGGTTGGTTGATTGGTTGATTGATTGATTGATTGATTGATTGATTGGTTGATTGGTTGATGGACTGATTGATCGATTGATTGATTGATTGATTGATTGATTGATTGATTGGTTGGTTGGTTGATTGATGGATTGGTGTGTGTTCTGTGTCTCAGGTGGACGGCTTCTTCACGCTGGTCTTCGGTCTGGGCAGCATCAACACTCTGACCGTCATCAGCATCAGCAGATACATCAAGGGCTGTCACCCCAATAAAGGCAGGAGTGTGTCTCTCACAGCCTGAGCTCGTCTGAGTCGATCCGCTCTAATCTGAGTGTGTGTGTGTGTGTGTTCACAGCTCACTGCATCACCAATGCCACCGTGCTCACGTCTGTCATCTTCATCTGGTCAGGAGCCCTGTTCTGGTCCGGAGCCCCGATCTTGGGCTGGGGAAGCTACACAGGTCAGTCTGTGAAAGGGTTAACTGTGAGACGTCTTCTTCTCAATCCACTGTTCTGTTGTATTACTGTCAAAAAGACTTGAGATGTGCTTCAGTGATTGAACCTAGCAAAAAATAAGATTTACTGAAGCAGCAGAAATTCATAGTGACCAAATACATACAATTATTTTTATGATTAATTCTAACATTTATTTATTTATTTACTATTGTCATTTTGCATTATTGACACACTATTTTCATATTTAATGCTGTACAGTTGCTTTGACACAATCTGTATTGTTAAAAGAAACCTCTAATATCGGCCAAAAAACGATAAATGGTTGATTTTAAAATTTTATATTACTTTGTATAAATATCATATATATATATTTGTGTGTGTGTGTATGTATATATGTATATATATATATATATATATATATGCAATTATATTACATAATTAAATTGTATAATTAATTATTATAATCACATATTATTATTGCTAACTGGCAGAACATTGTGTGATGTTTCTCAGTGTAAGTTACACAGCTCCTGATAAGCTGATGTGGACGGTGTGAAAGGGTTAATTGCGTGTTGTGGTCAGATCGTGGATACGGCACCTGTGAGATCGACTGGGTCAAAGCCAACTACTCCAGCATCCACAAGTCCTTCATCATCTCCATCCTCATCTTCTGCTTCTTCATCCCCGTGCTGATCATGCTGTTCTCGTACGTCTCCATCATCAACACGGTGAAGCGAGGAAACGGCCTGTCAGCCGAGAGAGATCTGACCGACAGACAGCGCAAGATCGAGAGAGACGTCACCGTCGTGAGTCAAAACACTGGACACACTTATTCTTGATTTCACAATAATAAAACTATGCAATGATTTTATAAAGTTCTCATTTTTATTTATTTATTTTAGTCATTTAGCAGACACTTTTATCCAAATTCTATTAATATAATTAAGTATCTATTAAAAACATCCATTTAAATAAAAATATTTGAATATTTTATATTTTTTATAAAAAATATTTGTTGATGTTTTTACACAATTTTCAGGCTTGTGATAATAATATACAATTTGTTGATATTTAGTAATTTTTTCTGAGATTACTTAAAATAATTTCAACCAAATGCGTCATAAACAAGTTTTACATATAAAAAATGTATTACATAAATTAATCATACACCTACTATATGGAAGCTTATTACCGCCTTATTAAAAAAAAGCGTATATATATATAAAAAAAAAAGATAATTGCAACTTTTTAACTCTCTTTGAATAATAAATGTATGAGATTTTTAAAAGTTATAAATTCAGTGTATTCATTAAAAATCCATTTAAATAGAGGTAAAGAAAAAAGTATATCTTTATTGTCTATATATTTGTTTCTTTACACAATTCATGTTTAAGACTTTTTGTAATATTCTATATGCTCATATTTATTTGCTCTGAAATGACTTTTGAACTCACAATTCTGACTTTTTTTCCTGCAATTCTAAGCAAAAAGTCAGAATAATTTTTTCGTTTTCTTTTTTTTTATTCAAATATATTATTATTATTATTAAATTTGTTTATTCCATGGTGCAAACAAACAAACAAAAAAGTCTAAGATATAAACTTGCAATTCTGAAAAGAAAAGTCCACATTTTTCTTATCTTAAAAAAATAAAAATAAAAATATATAGTAGTAATTTAAAGTCATATATTAATATTTAAATTTTTATATTCATATTTAAAATTTGTATTTATATTTTTTAAATAAAATGTATATTTTTAATGCATTTCTTTAAATGCAGCAGTGTTCTTGCTCCTGATGATGTTCAGGTGTTAAACTCAAAGCCGTGTTGTTGTCTTCAGGTGTCTGTAGTGATCTGCACGGCGTTCATCCTGGCCTGGTCTCCGTACGTGGTCGTGTCCATGTGGTCAGCGTGGGGTTTCCACGTGCCGAGTCTCACCAGCATCTTCACGCGGCTCTTCGCCAAATCCGCCAGCTTCTACAACCCTCTCATCTACTTCGGCCTGAGCTCCAAGTTCCGGCGAGACGCGAGCGTGCTGCTGCCCTGCGGCGGAGAGGCCAAAGACGCCGTCAAGCTCAAGCGCTTCAAGAAGATCAAGGCCAAGGCGGACAGAGCCGAGGAGAACCGCCAATTACACAAGAACCAGAAAAAAACCCCTCCGGCAAACCCCGCCCCCAGCCCCGACTCCCGGGAGACTCCGCCCCCTGCAGGTGCACAGGTGTTCTTCATCGACACGCCTGAGTCCCAGTGCATCAGACTGTAGATCACCACTTGCAGTTTTATTAATCGCATACAAAATAAACGTTTTTGTTTATATAATATATGACCCTGGAGCACAAAACCCGTCATATTTGTAGCAATAGCCAACAATACATTGTATGGGTTAAAATTATAGATTTTTCTTTTATGCCAAAAATCATTAGGATATTAAGTAAAGATCATGTTCCATGAAGATATTTTGTAAAAAATATTGTCCTATCCTAACAAACCAGACATCAATGGAAAGATTATTTATTCAGCTTATTCATGATGCATAAATCTCAATTTCACAAAATTGACCCTTATGACTGGTTTTGTGCTCCAGGGTCACATTTATGTGTGTGTTCGGTGTATATTTATTATGTATATATATATAAATGCACACACACACAGTATATATTTAGAAAATATTTACATGTATATATTTATATTCATATAATTGATATTATATATAAATGTTTTAAAATGTATAAACATAACATATTTTTCTTAAATATATGCATCCATGTGTAGTTATATGTACATAATAAATAAACACAGCACACACACACATATATTATGTAAACAAAAACGTTTATTTTGGATGCGTTTAATCGTTGCCCAGCACTAATTTTTATATTTCAGCTACTTTATGAAATGTCATGATAACCATAAACAGCGTGAAAAGCTATTTTTGTAAATGACGGATGTAAATGTGAACTGTTGTTGTTTTTTAATAAGTGTGTTCTTCAACATTAATAAAGACAGTTTTGTGCTTATATGCAGTTCATCACCACATTTTAGTCTTAGAGATTTTATAGCATTTATTAATCTTAGTCAACGTTAATGTCAGCATTTACTAACACATTTTTAAAATCAAAAGTTGTATCTGTTAACATTAATGTAATACAAATAAAAGTATGGGATTTTTATCAAAGTTATCAACTGCATGTATTTATTAAAATGTACAGTTTTGTGTTTATATGCAAAAAATTTTTCTGAGTAAAAAAAATCAGTACCATTTAGAATCTTTATGTATATTGCATTACAAAGGTATTCATATAGTAATGCATTATGTTTTCATAAATAATTGTAACTTACAATTGTTGAAATGCATTATAATATTTTCAGGTTGGATTTTCATGTGTTTTAATGCGTTGCACTTTCTAAAGGTTTAACAATGAATAGATAAATATTATAATGTATTATAACTGTGGTTATAATTATCCACAAGATCATAAAATGCATTACAAATCAGAATGAATGCAATAAAAGTACTTATATAATGCATTAAATATTAAAGCTTCAAGTACTTTTAGTCATTTAGCAGATGCTTTTAAGTAAAGTCTGCGCAAACTTTATAACACTTTTTATTTTCCAGAGAACTTATGCCATTTATTAATCTTAGTAAAAAAAATAAAAGCTTTATCTGAAAACTTTAGTTAATGACAAGACAAACACAATTTAAAAAAGTTATCAATAAAATGCATCCATTAAAAACTATGCATTTAAATAAAAAGTAATATATAAATAACATTTCTAACTTTATCTATACTGGCCAGCCCTGGTGCCTAAACATTCATTTCTTTACAAGATTATTATTTTTATTATTATTATGGTTTATGATATTTATTAATTTGCTCCGGAATGAATTAAAAGTGTGTTTATTTCATGAACAATTTCAATCGAATGAACAGACATGATATAATATATATCATATAAATATATTGCTCATCATTAATAGTTAATGTTAATGCATTGACCAATGTGTAAACAAATGAGACCTAATTTAATCTACAAATGAGGTCTAATTTAGGCTTTATGAACTTCTGATAGACATTTCTCTTTCCATTCGTGCTGCTTTAGTGTGTGCAGTCAGTTATTTAATTTTGAAATCGAGGCCAACTTATCAAATATGAAATAAAATATAAACACTGGCACACTTCAAAATCTTGCCGGAAAGAAGTCATATAGGTACCTTTTTGCCATATAGGTCTATATATATATATATATTAGTGCATTATTTTGTGACTTAAATGTACAGGACTTCCGGTGTCATTTGCATCCGATTATTTTACAAAAACATTCTGTTATGCTGCTTAATATTGCAAACTGGCTATTTGTTATCATATTAGTTAAATGTATTGTAGTAATTATAAACACACTGTTTTGTTGCCCAATAGCTTGCTGTGCTTTGTTATTCTTGTAGTTATTCACTAATGACTCGGAAGTCTGGCACATTTACAGAAAACAGCTCATGCACAGCAAAATAAGGTGGATTATGTGTGACCCTGGAGCACAAAAGCAGTGTTAAGTCGCTGGGGTATATTTGTAGGAATAGCCAACAATACATTGTATGGGTCAAAATTATACATTTTTCTTTTATGCCAAAAATCATTAGGATATTAAGTAAAGATCATGTTCCATGAAGATATTTTGTACATTTCCTACCGTAAATATATCAAAACTTAATTTTTGATTAATAATATGCATAGCTAAGAACTTCATTTGAACAACTTTAAAGATGATTTTCTCAATATTTAGATTTTTTTGCACCCTCAGATTCCAGATTTTCAAATAGTTGTATCTCGGCCAAATATTGTCCGATCCTAACAAACCATACATCAATGGAAAGATTATTTATTCAGCTTTCAGATGATGTATACATATCAATATCAAAAATGGACGCTTATGACTGGTTTTGTGCTCCAGGGTCACAGATGTGCTTTGGTATGGAGCCGCGTGCATATTAAAGGCTGCATCTTTTATGTTTGCATTTAATTAAACCAATCAATCAGTGACGTGATCAGAATAAAAGCAGGAGTCACAGCACCATAAATCTTTCAGTCGCTGAGACTCATTGATTTCACTCTCACCTGTAATGATTGGGCCTGCTTATATAAACCAGATCAACAGAAGAAACAGCTGAAAATAAGAAGCACGAAGATTTTTTACTTGCATTTGCACAAGAGAATAAAATAGTAAACATAAAATGGAAATGTCATTCACACACACTCATGTGGTTTCAAACCCTAATGATGTTATTTTATTATGAGGTTTAGCTGAACTCTTTCTATTTTTAAAAGGTACTGGAATCATAAAAACCAGCAACCATTTAAAACGTGAATAAATAAACCCTCATTGATTTTTTGGACTATAACTGCTAGACAAACAACACAAACGACTGAAAACTATACATTATACATCTTCATTCAGAGTGACAAAAACAAAGAAATGAATTTAAGCTCGATGAGAGGCTAATCTTTTAACTGCTGATCTAGCAATTGTTTAAAAAAAAAAAAGATAAAAAAATAAAAAAATAATTACTATTAGTATTTTATTATTATCATCATCAAAATAAATAAATATGCATTATGTATATGTAGTTCTTAGAAGAGATAAGATATAAAACATAAGAAATAAAACATAAAATATATTATTATATAGTAGTAGTAGAAAAAAAGACTAAAGAAATGAACGCAATAAAAGTACTTATATAATGGAGAAAAGTATAAAGAAAAAAAAATCATTTCTGGCAACGACTGCTTTTAGTTATAAGTTTTGCAGTTCCAAGCATGTATAATATCGTTTAATTAATCGCATGTGTTTTAAACTGATCCTGCTGCACCATCTGGTGGCCAAACCAAACTACTGCAACAGCATCTGTGCCCTTCACATGCGGATCTCAGACTGCACTAGTGATGGGCGAACCGAATCTTTGATTCAATTGAACCACTTGCTTTGCAAAATGATTCAGTTTCGAAGCGCTCGTGACACCTGCTGCTCAAGACGGTGTGAATGCAACAAAAACTTGCATAAGACGTGCATAAAAACACCTTTTACCAATTGCAAATGTTTATTTAAAGTATTATATATTAGATGCAATTAAATGATCATCTAATACCAAATATGAAGTGTCTGTACATTAGTTTTCAGGGGTTTTGTTCGTGTTATAGAGAGCTTGTCTAAACAGGCCAATAAGAGACAATTGATTGCTACTCTTCATCTTAAATACTCAAATGTCTCATTAAAATATCTACAAATTAAAAAAACCGATCCGAGATTGAAATTTCGAAACCCTGCTGCTCAAAACGGTGTGAATGCAACAAAAACTTGCATAAGACGTGCATAAAAACACCTTTTACCAATTGCAAATGTTTATTGAAAGTATTATATATTAGATGCAATTAAATGATCATCTAATACCAAATATGAAGTGTCTGTACATTAGTTTTCAGGGGTTTTGTTCGTGTTATAGAGAGCTTGTCTAAACAGGCCAATAAGAGACAATTGATTGCTACTCTTCATCTTAAATACTCAAATGTCTCATTAAAATATCTACAAATTAAAAAAACCGATCCGAGATTGAAATTTCGAAACGACGCCTGGTAGCTTTACTGAAATCACGTGACTTTGGCGCTCCGAATCACTGGTCCTAAACAAACGATTCGCAAAAGATTCGAAGCTTCACGAAGCAGTGCTTCTATTAATACGTACTGTGATCAGTGACCATTCAAAAATGGGGAAAGAGCACTTTTCATGTTTTTTCTCCAAAGTTTGTACGCCTGTAACTCAAGAAGTATTATTTCTTAATTATAACCAACATTTGGTTTTTGACCACTGAAAATGTAACAATTTACTCCTGGAGCCATATTGAGATTCCAGTATCTCTGAACCTGAACTATACAGGGCCTTACAAATTAAGATGCCAAAAGAGAAGTTTGTTAAGATGCTAAATCTAAAAGGATATTAAGATATCTTTAATACTTCTTGAGTTACAGGCCTGCAAACTTTGAAGAAAAAACATGAAAAGTGCTCTTTCCCCATTTTTGAACGGTCACCATTGGCACATAATGCAACACAGATTGCTAAAGTCAACAGATTTTACTAACAGACCAACCAATCTCTGTGTAAAAGTAACATTATGATGCTGCCATCTTTCTACAGTCATTTTATCCTCCTGTAATTTGGCTCTGAATCTCAGGGGGAAATTGCCATTTTGACCCCCTTCTTCAAAATAGTGCATTACTCAGTAAATATACATCTGTGACATTTAATATTTTGCCTTTCATCACTATACATGTTTATTTTTCTTCAGAAAAAATATTAGCAAAATCAAAAAATTTGAGCAGGGGACCTCTGGTTGATTTGACATTCAATGACCCACTATTAAAATCAGCTAATTTTAATAATGCGTCATTCCGTGTTAACTCAACCAGAGGTCCCCGGCTTACATTTTTGATTTTAAATCATTAAATATAATTTACAAACATATTACACTCACAAATTAAGTGCATTCATTAAGAGTTAAGTGCATGAAGAAAATGCCTATTCACCATTAACCCAAATGCCAGAGTTTTCCATCAGCGCAGGAACCTGTAAACAGAAAAAAACTCACACAAAACCCAAAAGCATATGAAATACAACATATTCTTTTATTATTGTATTATATTGATAAATGTCCATCTGAGGAAAAAAAAAAAGAGAATACAACGAGAAATCAAGAATAAACAGTAATATCCATAATAAAATATGTACAAGAGGAGTATAGCATTTATTAACAGGATCTTTCCAAACTCTCTCTATACAACAACCAAAGGGTTAAAAGTCCCGTCATGACGTCATCGTCCGATCGTCCAATCAAATCGCGTCATCGTTCCCTTTGAATACTCTTGATGTTTCCGGTAAGCACGTCAATCGATCAGTAACCAAATAATCAAATCGCGTTGATCAATAGCACTTTAGCATCTTCAGTAGCTGAGTCAGCTGTACAGTTTCCATCTCTGACCAGCAGGTGGCGCAAACTAAACTCTCCCGCACGACTAGTTAATCTTCACTGTTAGCTTCGCAGGTTAATATACACTGTATTCTGGTTCATAAATAGATTGTTGTTCAATACTTTAAAACTATACATATTGAGATTCTTTCTTATATATCTAAAATTAATACGCACCAAAATGAACGAAATCAGAAAATATATTTACTAGTACGAAAACTTGGTCGCGCACGCACGCGGTTCCCTAGCAACGTCCCAAACCAGCGCTCTGTGCACGAGCTTAACAACGCGCCTCGGATTTTAAAGGAATAGAATGCAAAAATGAAAAAAAGAACTATTTAATCACCGTCATGTCGATAAATGTGAGGCAGCTTCTGTTTTTCACACCTTAAAATGTAAAAGAGCAGCTCAGACGTTCATCGTTTTGTTTGTATGGAAGGCCGTTTTCGCAATTGGATAAAAAAATAAAAAAGGTAATTTCCATTTTTTCTCTCACAATTCAGATGTAAACTTGCAATTCTGGGATTCTGAGTCTTAATTGTGAGAAAAACCTCAGAATTGCGATATAAACTCACAATTCTTAGAAAAAAATGAGAATTGCGAGAGGTAAACTCTCAATTCAGACTTTTTTTCTCAGAATCGTGAGTTGCAATTCTGAGTTTAATATAAACTCATAATATATAAACGGGATATAAATTCTCAAGTTTCCTCGCAATTCTAAGTTAACATCTCGCAATTCTGGCTTTTTTTTTCTGAGAATTTTGAGTTTACATCTTGCAATTCTTTTAAATTTCCACCATGGAATAAATAAAAAAAGGTAATGGCGACTTTTTATTATCATGCAATTCGGATATATACTTGTCAAAGTCAGAATTACAAGATATAAACTCTAAATTGCAAGAAATAAACTCATTAATCAAAATTTTCCTTGTATTGTGATGGTCATAATTAAATATTTTTTTTTTTGCCCATAGAATTTAAAAACATTTTTAAAAAGGCCATTGCGACTTTTTATCTTAAAAGATAAGATAAAAACTTTTTACATCTTGCAATTTCATTTTTTGTAACTTTTGACTCAGAATAAAAAAAAAGGTAATTGTGACTTAATCTCACGATTTTAGATCTTACAATTCTAAAAATCCAAATTATGAGATAAAAATCTGCATTTACTTAATTTGTTTATTCTGTGGCGAAAAAGATTGCGAGATGTAAACTGAATTTTGAGAAAAAAGTCGCAATAACCTCTTTTTTTTAATCGTGGCAATTGTAACAAAAACAATTGTAAGATAAAAACCCATAATTTCTGAGAAAAACAAGTAATTGCGAGTTTTTCCGACATGTCTTTATCCTGTGTCAGAAACAAGCTTCCATAGGTTTGCAGTGACATGAAGGTGAGTAAACAGTGATGGATTTCATGTTTGTCTAAACTAGTCCTTTATCATCATTTGGTAGAGAAGCAAACTCGCGTCACTTTTCACAGACCTGAAGGAAACGCACAAACACTCCACTCGTCTTGTAGTGCTCATGTCATCAGTTAAAGGCAAACGATTCCCGATAAAAGCAGAAAATCTCTACCCTAGCATTTAAAAACACACACGCACACCCAGATAGTTCAAGTAATCACAGACAAATTCAAATAAACCAGAAGAGTTTAAATAAAAAACTTCAACCTGCAGGAAACTCGGGTTACGATCTGTTTGCAACCTCGGTCACCAGTCACACAATGATAAAAAACACTAGTATCCGCTTCAAACTATTACATATAAAATAGATTTCAAATCTAATACACAAACCACCACCTGTGCAGGTAGAGAAGGTGAGGATGAGTGAGCGATACTGACGTCAGATGAAGGTGTTTATGTACGTAACGTAGCCGCTCGTCCCGTCCTGAAGCGAAATCCTAATGCATTTGGCATTACAGGCAAAACAAGTAAAAAAAAAAAAAAAAGGCAAAAAATAAATAAACATTACAACAGATTTCAGACAAATATAGACTTCCAAATCATTGTACTTTTGAGTACAGCTTGTCAAAAACTGCAACACATTCAAACTATTATAAGACTTCTGCGCATTATCACTTTGACTAAGTTCAACGAATATTCAGTAACGGCTCTAAATCTAAAATTTTGCCTCCATGTTTGTTGGTACATCACAATGTTGAGATGATTTCACAGAACAGGCGAGTTTTACTGGATCGACTGCAAAGCCTCAGGAGAAACTGCAGGTTTATGCGTAAAATAACAGCTTAAATATTTAACGCAGCACTGAATTGAGACGTACGTCCTGATGGTGAACGGCTTTGGAGTGTTTAGAGTTGACGCTTGAATCTCAAGAACATCATCCAGGACGTATTTCACCACAAAATCACAGAATTATAAAGAAGGTGAAGCCTGTTTCTAGACCTAATAGTTTAACATTCTGACTTTTTATAAACAATGCCACAACGCAAAAAACAGGCTTTATTTTCTTGATTTTGGGGCGAAATGAGTCGGACGATGGTGGATTTATATTTGGACACAAACGTGTTGAAATTTAGTACGGCAAGTTATTTTTATGTTATGTTATGTACAATTTGAATTAATTGTCTGCCAGACAAGAGAAGCATTAAATGTGAGTCTTTTAATTCAATGCATTTAATTTCACGTGTATCCCATCGAGATTTTGTGAGAAACCTGAATAATTTGACGCATTTGGTGAGTTCAAAACATCGACGGGGTCGTTTTCCCTCTATGGGAATCCGCGTTTCTCAAGACTGTTTGTAGCAAAAGGCACGTCGTTAAAAAGGAGCGAACGCAAGACGGGAAAACCAGAGAGAACTAAAACTGCAGAAGTGTGGGAAGCACCCAACTTCCTGTGAGGCTGAACGGAGGAGGTCTGGAGGTTCCTCCGTGTTTGTTGACCTCCCCTCCAGCACCCAGGCCTGCCCGGATCATCAGAGCGAGTTCAGGCCTCACCGTGCATCAGTTTGCGGAAGCAGTTTTGGTCAAAGGTCGAAGGTCATACGAAGACTTTGGCGAGGGCGTCGGCTCCCGCGCTGCCGATGTAGCACTTGGTGGGGTGGAACGCCACGTCGTTGATGGACTCGTCGAACTTCTTCCTGTGAGCCGTGAACTCCTGGATGCACGTCTTGCTCTCCATGTTCCACAGACGCACCGAGCAGTCGTGACCTGAGACACAATCAACATCAGCTTAGTATTACTGAATAGACATTACAAGAAAAAGTAGCTTTAGAAAGAAATATTTTGATTAAACAACACATAAATGGGCATTAGGGATATACATCAGGACATTTCTGGAATTTATTGCAATAATGCCATCAATGACGATAATTCAGGGAATCCTGTTTCTTTAGAGAAAAGTGTTTTTTTTCCTATTTTTACCCAAGATAGGGTGTTGTGAGCATTACTGAGTACACACGTCATGTAATGACTGTTTAATTCATACTGGAAGCCAGAGGGCGCTCTTGCGCAGAAACTCCACATGCATCGCAGAAGTAATAGCACTGACAATGCTCCAGGAAATCCCTAATATGGACAAAGGCATCCAGTTATCGCTGAATAAAACGCACATCGGAGATTTTAACTGATGAAACTTGAAGACAATAAACATACGATTGCACAAAATATATGGTTTATCTGTGTTCTTCATGCAATCATGGGTATTTTTTATAAGGAAAGTATATTTATAATGCAATGCTAATTGACATAGCCTTTATCACTGTATATAACACTTATCATTCTGTAATATGAAACCACGTCTGGTCACAAAAAGAAGTTATTTCAAACACTTGACTATGTTATTAAGTTAATTTGGAGAAAAAGCATGTCAATAAATGATATCTTTGTTGGACAACAGGTTTGTAAACAGGCTCATACACATGCAAAACCTACATTTATTCAAGGCTCAGACCGATTTTTTGTGCACTGTACAGCCCTAAACAAACCAGTTCCAGATTGTAGAAGGAGCTCTTCGTTTAGCGATAAACTCCTGCTCAATTTCACGTACGCCTTCCGCCAAGTCGCTCCGCACTGTCGCACACAGAAATATGTCAACAACTAGGCTTTATCGTTATTATTGCGGGAAGACTAATTCTTATCCTGGGGGAAAATTTTTACCGGTATATCGCAAACGATAAGATATCGGCCATCCCTAATGGGCATTAATGGTTTTTTAATGAATATTGAAATATGAACTGCTTGTATGTGGCGTCAAGTCACTGTGATAATGAGTGAGTCATTGAGCGACTCATTCAACTGATTTGTTCAGACGGCTGATTCATTCAGAAATGACTGCATTTATGAATGAGTCACTGAATCACTCACTCGCTCGATTCATTCAAATGCCTGATTTATTCAGAAACAAAGCAAGTTACCGTCTTGATGAATGAGTCACTGAATCATTGACTCACTCAATTCGTTCAAAAAGCTGATCCATAAGCCAGTGACTTTATGTGTCTTTTATGTATGAGTCATTGAATCACCACCTCACCCAATCCATTCAAAAACGTAGATTCGTTCAGAAACTAAGCAAGTGACTGCAGTTATGAATGAGTCACTGAAACATTGACTCACTCAATTTGTTAAAATGGCTGATTTATTCAGAACCGAAGCCAGAGACTGTCTGTGTCATTGAATCACTGAATAACCCAATTCGTTCAAAAACGTAGATTCGTTCAGAAACTAAGTGACTGCAGTTATAAATGAGTCACTGAATCACTGACTCGATTTGTTCAAAAACATAGATTCATACAGAACCGAAGCCAGTGACTGTCTTTGTGAATGAGTCACTGAATCATTGACTCACTCGATTCATTCAAAAACTTAGATTTGTTCAGAAACAAAGGAAGTCACTGCATTTATGAATGAGTCACTGAATCATTGACTCACTCGACTGATTCAAAAACATGGGGTGGCTATGTTAAATGCATTAATCATTTTAACACATGATTTTGTTTCATAATTAATCACATCAAATTAACACAATAAATGAACACAGCCCTACTTATTATAATAAAAATACAGAAAATGCAAGAAAAGCACCAGGTTTTCCATCAAGTTGTGACGTCAAACCATGAACATACATGCACGCATCATAAACTGAACAATCTAGGTCTTATATGCAAAGCAAAATCAGAGTAACAGGCCAAACTGATGTCTTTGGAGTTTTCTTTGACCCGTTTATGACCTTTACCTGATAAAAGAACACCAATACAAGTGTTTGCATGACTTGACATGTTCTCGAGTACTTACTACCAGACATCAGATAGAGACCGTTGGGATCCACCGCAAGACTGGTGACAGCATCCAGATGAGCAACCATAGAGTGAATCAACTTGCCTGAGAAGAAACAGCAACATATATGAATATATACATAAAAAATAACATAAAAATCAAAATAATCAAAATAACAGTAACAATAGCTTTCCAAGAATAAGAATAAGAATATATATATATATATATATATATATATATATAATATATGTATATGATTTCTAAAAAAAGAAATGTTGTAAGCAGGGTTTAAAAAAAATTAAATCGTTCACTCAGAGCAGAATCGGTATTTTAACGTTTCTGCTAATGCGTTCCTCTGTATTATTGCCGTTCTGAAACCGGTTTTTCTTTACTCAAAAAAAAAAAAAAAAAAAAAAAAAAAGAAAAAATCTGTTAATGCTTTAAAGACATTAAAGTATTTTTTCAAGATATTTAAAAATGTTTGCTAAATGGTTAAGAAAAAACAGCAACATTACAGACTAACTAAAGTTGAAAAAGTGAAAAAGCATAATAGGACCCCTTTAACATAGATTCACATACATTTTTTTTTATTTAAAACAGTAATAATATTTCACTGTTTTTACTGTATTTGGTGAGCAGAGGAGACTTCTTTCAAAAACAAAATCCAAACTTTTGAACAGTAGCGTTTGTGTGTGTGTGTATATATATATATATAAATTTACATATATATAAAAATACTAATAATAATCAACATAATCATAACAAAAACAACATCAATAATCAAAATAATAAGAATAATAAAGTAAAGCTGTTAATCTGAGTTGAATCGGTCACCTGTGTTGTTGTCGTAGAATCGGATGTGTCGGTCCTCCTGTGCTGTGATGGTGATGGGCAGCGTCGGGTGACTGAGGACTTTATTAATCTGACACGGCGCATCTGAACATCAAACACATCAACGTCAGAGAGCATCATGGGACTTTTCCATTCACTCATGACTAAACTATTATGATTCCATTAATTGAGATTTCTAGAAAGGTCTTCTTTACGTCAAGCACCAATAAACTAAAAGAGATGATGTTAAAGGAACACTCCACTATTTTTGAAAATAGGCTCATTTTCCAACTCCCCTAGAGTTAAACAGTTGAGTTTTACCGTTTTCGAATCCATTCGGCTCAACATCAATAATCAAAATAATAAGAATAATAAAGTAAAGCTGTTAATCTGAGTTGAATCGGTCACCTGTGTTGTTGTCGTAGAATCGGATGTGTCGGTCCTCCTGTGCTGTGATGGTGATGGGCAGCGTCGGGTGACTGAGGACTTTATTAATCTGACACGGCGCATCTGAACATCAAACACATCAACGTCAGAGAGCATCATGGGACTTTACCATTCATTGATGATTAGACTATTATGATTCCATTTATTGAGTTTTCTGGATAGGTTTTTTATGTCAAGTATCAATAAACTAAAAGGGATGATGACACTGTGTGACAAGACAAGTTTCCAGAGTCAAGAAACGTTTCTGTTTTCACCGAATCCTGTGGCTAAAATCTCAGAAAGTGGCTGTGAAGTACCGGGTATTCCGGTGGCTTGCGACTCGAGCTCCAGCACCAGCTGTCGGGTCTCCATGTTGAAGATGCCCATCCTGCCGTTAGTGAAGGCTGTGACCATGTGAGCCGGATCACTGCACACCAGATCCACCGACGACGGGACGCCCAGCTCTGAACCGCACAGAAAACAACTCATTCATGAGTCTGTGCTTGCACAAAATTCACTGCTGAGATTATCTTAACATAATCACCAATCAAAGACAAAAAAAAAAAACACAATTCATAAACTAAACTAAACTTTTTTTTAAAACTGATGTGCAGTAAATTGTTCTTTATTTTTTAAAGACTATTAATTTGGGGTTTGTTTCAATGCTGAAATTCATCATGAATGACAGTAAGAAAAACAACAACAAAAAATATCATTAATTAATTCATAAAATAAATATTATTTTATGATGAATTACAATATATATATATATATATATAGTAAAATATTTGTAGCTAATAAAATATTAATAACTATCAAAGAAAGTGTAGGTGTTTGTCAAAAAAAAAAAAAGTAAAAAATTATTAGACTATTAATTTGGGGTTTGTTTCAATGCTGAAATTCATCATGAATGACAGTAAGAAAAACAACAACAAAAAATATCATTAATTAATTCATAAAATAAATATTATTTTATGATGAATTACAATATATATATATATATATATAGTAAAATATTTGTAGCTAATAAAATATTAATAACTATCAAAGTAAGTGTAGGTGTTTGTCAAAAAAAAAAAAAGTAAAACATTATTAATGTTTAAATTAATTATAAAATATTTAAATAATTAAGTGAATTGTTTGCAGTTGTACTTTTGAAAAAATTTCTTTATTTTATTTTGGGGTCTATTTTAATGCTAAAATAAAATAAAATAAAAAAATATTATTAAATAAAAGATTTTTTCTTTGTGAACTGATGTGTGGTAAATTATACTTTAATTTTTCAAGATTGTCATTTTGGGGTCCATTTTAGTGTTGATATCATCTAGCCATCATCATTAATTTAGGATCAAAAAGGATCATTTATTCATAAAAATTAAATAAAAAAACAAAATACATTTTGTATCATCTAAGTCATGAATGACAGTAAAAAACTAATAAAACAAACAAAAACAGACATTCATTAATAAAATGAAATAAAATATATTTTGAAATAAAATATATTTTGATGTGTGGTAAATCATTCATGAATTCTTTAAGACAAAAAAATAAAAAATAAAAAAATTAGCGCGTTAACGCATGCGATTAATTTTTCAAAATTTTTACAAATATTTAATGCAGGGGCGGAGCTTGGGTGCTGCTTCTGTCTTAGAAGACAGAAAATACAGCAAATAATTCATACTGACTACTCTTACAGAGCTTGAATTTATATATCACCATCCACTATCATTGTATGGAAAACACCGGCTTAGACAGTCTACATAACATCTCCTTTTGCATAAAAGTATATACTTTTTAATCTGGCTAGAGGGATCTACTCGTGTAATTTGTTGTTTTACCTCTTCTCAAAAGTTTGCTCAAATGATTGGTGATGATTATTTCCATAATAATTAAATTAACCTGACAGCATATCCACAGTGGTGCCAATAAATCTGTTATTTTTACTGTTCTTGTTTTGTGATGTATCCAAAAGGACTTTTCATTTGTAAAACCAGAATTATAAAACACAGTGTTGCAGATGGTTGCCAAGTGTAGCTTTTTTGGTCCTTAAAGTGTTTTTATTGCATGACAGGGTTTTATTAAAACACTGTTAAAACCCTTTGAAGACCAAGTAAAGAACAACTTCCAACAGATTTCCATTACTTTTTAATTAGTGCTGTCAAAATTAGTGCGTTAATGCAGGCAATTAATCTTTTCATTTTAACGCGTTAAAGATATTTAACGCAATAGCGGAGCTAGTGTTGGCCACCCCACTCACAACTGCTGCTTCTGTCTCTTTTTTTTCTTGACAAGAATTGCGTTTATTTAGACGTGCAGCATGTCTTTACAAGCACATCAAACTGGAGACTTTTCAGACGCGTGATCCAACTTCGATCCAAACGAGCGCGGAAACGGTAACGAGGTGACGAGGAGCTTCAGCAGAACAACAGTGAACTGCGATCAGATGAGATGTTGTCAGGCATATGTCAGTAAAAACCAGTTTTCCTGTCAGCTGTTATACTGTGCTCGTAGCACAAGCTCTTCTCACATTAAAGCGTGAATGAAACTACGAGCATTCAGTGTCAGATCCGCATCACGTTCAGCTCTTAAAGTAATAGCAGCCCAATAACCTAATAACCAGCTGCTGAGATTCTGTTCATCAAATATCAAAAGAAAAAAGAGGAAATCAATAACTGTTGTAGCTTTAAGGATTTATCTATATTTAATTTAGAATTTAGTGTTTGATAACTTTATTCAATTTCTGTATATTTCCAACTCGCTGAAGGGCACAGGTAACTAAATATGACATTTATTATAATGGGTTTATGTGAAGATTGTTTTAAGTTAAATTAAGTTATTTTTTTAAGTCTAATAAATGTTAAAATTGATAGCTCTCATTTATACTTTAATGTAGAAGGGCTATAGTCAATGGTTATATATAAGGGTGAAAAAATCTGATAAAAAAGATGCAAACAAATTTGTTGTTTGTACATTAATTTGAAAGAAGAAGCCTTAGCTGTTATAAATTCACTGTAAACCACGGCTTCACGGGGCTTATTGCTTTTATAAAACGGTTATTCCATATACGTAGTAAGATTTCACAAAATAAAACAGAGCAAATAAAGTGTAATGATATTAATAAAAATAGTATTCTTCCACCAAACAATGTAGCTCCTCAGAAACAGTTGTGGTTGCTACAAAGTGGTTGCCGAGCAACACACAAACGTAAACAAAGGTGTGTGTTACTTTGTAGAGTAATTTACAACAGCTTCGAACGTGGCTCAGCCAATCAGAATCAAGCACCGGAACTCTCCGTTTTATAATAGTTGTTTTGGGGTGTGTGTTTAGTACCTTTGTTCTCGTTGAAGACAGCGATGGCGGGCGTGGTATCCGCTGCGCTCCACAGCCTCACCGTCCCGTCGGCGGAGCACGACAGCAGTCTGTGATGAGCTGAGCTGTAGACCAAACCCCAGACTGCATCTGTGTGTCCCGACAGCGCCCCCCGCAGCACCGACGGCTCTACAACAGACACACATTTTATTATTTTATTTGGACCCACAAGACAAGCAACAAAAACCGAATCCAAATACCTTGGAAAGTAATTTTGCAAGATGACAGATACACATGGCAAGCATACATTCACAAGTACTTATATTTATAACATTTAACACTCAAGGATAAACAAAACATCTTCGTTTCCATATTTGCAACAGCAACCTCAATGACAAATACAGAGTTCAAAGCCTTGTTTACAATTACAATGTCAGGAGTGTTTGGAATGGTTTTGAAATAGTCACTTTTATATGTGAGCCTGGAGCACAAAAGCAGTGTTAAGTCGCTGGGGTATATTTGTAGCAATAGCCAACAATACACTGTATGGGTCAAAATTATCAATTTTTCCTTTATGCCAAAAATCATTAGGATATTAAGTAAAGATCATGTTCTATGAAGATATTTTGTAAATTTCCTACCGTAAATATATCAAAACTTAATTTTTGATTAGTAATATTCATTGCTAAGTACTTAATTTGAACAACTTTAAAGATGATTTTCTCAATATTTAGATTTTTTTGCACCCTCAGATTCCAGATTTTCAAATAGTTGTATCTCAGCCAAATATTGTCCTATCCTAACAAACCATACATCAATGGAAAGCTCATTTATTCAGCTTTCAGATGTTGCATACACCTCAATAAAAAAAAAAAAAGACCCTTATGACTGGTTTTGTGGTCCAGGGTCACAGATGTGTTACACACTCACTCACAGACACACACTGACGTCTGCAGGGGAACAGGGACGTACCGTATGAATCGTACGGATCGATGTTGGGGTTCGGTGTGTTCCAGCACTGAATGGTCCCATCCAAACCGCCGCTGAAACACTGATCACCGCTGGAGCTCATCACCACACACAGAACCGGACCCCTGACACCAGACCAGACCAGAACAACATCAGACACAGACCGCATTAGGACGGTTGGGTATCGTTTGAATTTTATCGATTCCGATTCTTATCGATTCCTAGTTTTGATTCCAAAAAAACAAAAAATCTCAAGCAGGACAATTAAAAAAATGAAGTCAAACATTCATTCTGTGTCTTTTTGCGAAGCATTCTGTTGCAGCTGAATAACACGAGCATCAGCAGCCTACAGAACACTTACAAGAGGAACTTTTGCCTATGCTTTTAACAAAAATACCACAGCAAAAACAACAAGACTAATATTAATTTCAAATATTAAAGTGTTAAAGACAAGTAAACAGTCAGTAATAAAACAGGAACAAACATATCAATTAGCAATAGCATAAATAAATACAACTGAACCAAATTTCAGGTACAGAAACTAATTAAAAGTTTAAAAACACTGCATAGTTTTCTTGTTATAAAATATAGATTAATAAATTAAAGTTATTAAAGAGATTCAGTCATGTTGCTTTTGTTCTCTAATTAACATTAATGACAGGCAGAGTGTTTATTAGGCTGCTGTCTCTTTAACACCGAACACACGCAGATCTAAAAATACTGTACTCGTGCTTTTTCTGTCTCATCTGTTTACCTTCACTTAAGACAAAAAACAGCTGTGTTTATGATGATATACTGATGTAGTTTTCTGCACACTGGTCGATAAATATGAAAGTGTGAGCATTCACACGTACCTGTGAGCCCTGAACGTGTAGATGGGCTCCACATCCAGAGCGGCGCACCTGAAACAACAACAACCGGTTACACTGACCGACCCGAGCCAAGCACAGGGTTATTATCCTTAACTACAACTAGAACTATTACAACATTTCTGAAATAAAATTACTAACTTAATGCTGAAACTGAAATAAAAACTAATTAAACATGAATAGTATTGTATAAATAGTACTATAAAAAAAAAAAAATGAAAAAAGCTGAAATAAAAAAAACAATTTAAATGTAAATAGTAGTGCTGTCAAACGATTAATCGCGATTAATCGCATCAAAAATAAAGTTTTTGTTTACATAATATATGTATGTGTGCTGTGTATATTTATTATGTATATATAAATACACACGCATGTATATATTTCAGAAAAATAGGTTATGTTTATTTATTAAATATATTGATTTATAATATAAATAATATGAATATAGATATTTTTTAATATAGAAATATTTTCAAAATATATACTGTATTGTATGTGTGTAATTATATATACATAATAAATATACACAGTACACACACATATATTATGTAAATAAAAGCTTTTATTTTATATGCGATTAATCGCGATTAATCGTTTGACAGCACTAGTAAATAGTTATATTAAACCTAAATGGTAATATAAAAAAAAAAAAAAAAAAAAACCTAAAAAAAAAAATTAAAAAACTAATAAAACACTAAATGAATACTGAAATAAAAATAAATTAACTAATAAAAAACTGATATAAATATTAAAGGGATAGTTCACCTTTAGTTAGTCCCCATTGACTTGCATAGTGTTTTTTTCCCCATACTATGGAAGTCAATGGAGACCAGCAACTGAAGGTGAACTATCCCTCTAATGTTTAACTTTAATTTATTTTTAAAAAACGAATAAACTGACAAAAGCACAAAACATTAAACTGAAAACATTAATTCAAATATTAATAAAAACCCTATATAATTAACAGTTTAATGAGACTCTCACTTCTTGGTCGGGGTGGTTTTCTGCAGGTTCCACATTTTGAGCGTGTGATCTTCAGACGCGGTGATCAGAACCGGCTCGATGGGGTGAAACGCAAGACCGCGGATCGAATCGAAGTGGTTTCTGAGTGTGAACTTGGGGTTCCACGTCTTCCGCAGGGCGTCTTTATTATTAGTGATCTGAGAAAAGCAGGAAACACATTCACAAATACAGTACATTTCCACTTAAAATTAATACCAGCTGTCATTTTAATATCTATTCATTGACTCATTATTCAATCAGACTATTCGTGTATTAACTTTAAAAACATGCCATTTTTGACATAGTATCAAATACAATATATATATATATATATATATATATATATATATATAAATCAGCATACTACAGCTGCAACAAACAATTCACTTAATTAAAATATTAATAATGTTTTGCTTAAATAGTTTTGGCCGAGCGCCACGGTTATTATAGTTAACTAAAATTAAAGCTAAAAGCACAAAACTTACTTGAAAATAAAATAAACATGAACTAAAATAAAATAAAGTATCATCTAACCGCTTTCATTATGATTATAAACACGATCAATCTGATAAAAGTGTTACATTTTTAACAAAGTAACAATCATCCCATGAACCCATTTTAATAAATGTTTCATTTTTTAAATGTTTAACTTCAAATGTTTTATATTTATGAGAAATATAATAAAAACAAAATAGCTAGAGAACTAAAATGAAGAATATAAAAATAAAAACTGATTCAAAATATTAATAAAAACTATAATAGTATCTCAATAATGAGATCAAAAATAATGTTATTTAATGTTATATAAAAAATTTATTTTAGTGTAATTTTTTGTAATTTTGTTGATAGTTTTTAAAAAATATAATTAGATTTTATATAATATATTTTAAAGTATTTTATATGATATAGTTTTAGTTATTTAAGTAATTCAACAAAAATAAGAAGTCTTGCCTTTGCAACAAGCTGAAATAAGTTTACTTTTTTATTTAAACTTTAACTAAATTTATGTATTTATTTAAACTTTAAAATTCAAATGAAAGTGTAAATTGTAAAAATAAAAACTAATATGCATCATGATATTTACATACATTATAATATAATATACAATACATATTATAATATTAATAAAAACTATAATAGTATCTTTTACTTTTTCTTAATATTTTGAAACAGATTTTATTTTTATATTCTGTTTTCATTGTAATTTTAGTAACATTTTTAGTATATTTTTTTTACAATTTTTATTCGTTTTTAGTTGTTTTTTTATTATTATGTCTATATATTTTTTTTGTTTTAGTTATTTTAGTACTTCAACTTTAAACAAAATGAGAAATGTTGCTTTGGCAACTAGCTGAAATTAAATAACTTTAGATTTTTTGTTAAATATTGTATTTTATTTCAGTTAAAGTGCATTTAGTTTCCAGTATGGAGAATGTTTTTATCGTGTCTGGACTCACGTCGTAGGACAGATTCTCGGCCTCGTTGGCCACAGTGAGTCCGGCCAGTTCTCCGAGACCCAGCTCGCTCTCCAGCGTCTCGTCTGTTCCCATGATGAAGGACTTTCCCGAGGACGGGGGGAACGTCAGGGCTTCGACTGCAGAAACACACACACACACACACACACACACACACACAACACATCAGCATCTGCAGAGGCTGAACTGGACCATGAGTATGGACGGTTGGGTATTGTTTGAATTTTATTGATTCCTAGTTTCCATTCCAATAAGTTAAAAAATCTAATATATAAAAAAAATTATTCTGTGTCTTTTTGCGAAGCATTCTGTTGCAGCCGAATAACACGAGCATCAGCAGCCTACAGAACACTTACAAGAGGAACTTTTGCCTATGCTTTTAACAAAAATACCACAGCAAAAACAACAAGACTAATATTAATTTCAAATATTAAAGTGTTAAACAAGTAAACAGTCAGTAATAAAACAGGAACAAACATATCAATTAGCAATAGCATAAATAAATACAACTGAACCAAATTTCAGGTACAGAAACTAATTAAAAGTTTAAAAACGCTGCATAGTTTTCTTGTTATAAAATATAGATTAATAAATTAAAGTTATTAAAGAGATTCAGTCATGTTTCTTTTGTTCTCTAATTAACATTAATGACAGGCAGAGTGTTTATTAGGCTGCTGTCTCTTTAACACCGAACACACGCAGATCTAAAAATACTGTACTCGTGCTTTTTCTGTCTCATCTGAATGTCTTACGTTCACTTAAGACAAAAAACAGCTGTGTTTATGATGATATACTGAGTTTTCTGCACACTGGTCGATAAATATGAAAGAAGTCAGCTCCGGCTAGGAACAATCTTTCCTGCAGTGAAATGCACAGAACGGTTCGAGAACGGACACAAACCACACCGAGACCGCTGTTCTGTGTTATACAGTTCTTTCTGTTCCTGCACTGAAATCGTTTTAAATCACATTAAAATGCAAATGCAGGAAAAGTTAAGCAGAATCGAAATGCACGCGTCTCATCGAATACCCGGCTCTTGGAAATTTTCCCTTTTTCTCGCTTTCCTTGCAAAGTTTCTAATAGTCAGTATATTGTATGTGTGGAGTTTTAGAAGATATTAAGCAGACAGTCTACTAATACTCTAATGACTGCTAGTTGACATATAGTTGCAAATTTACTTACTGTTAGTAGAACGACTAAAGTGGGCTATCAAAATAAAGTGTTACCCAAAATACTAGGGCTGTGTATCACCAGCAAAGTCACGATACGATACGCATCACGATACAGGACTGCACTGAATTTCACTTCAGCAGAATTTAGAAAAACACCTGTTTATTAAACACTGCATACTATAGGGCCATTTCTAACTATTGGCAGAGCAGGCAGCTGACCTCTGCATTATGAAGGGCCTCCATAACTGTACCACAGTACAATATAGGTTATGGCATATGTTTCATGTTTACATTGTGCACTCCCCACCAGGTACAATATTCTGATTGTTTGCATCCTTTTTTTTAAGCCCATAAATAATAATGTACTCGTTCTAATAAATTTATATTGTAATGTACTCATTCTAATATATATAAAAAAATCACTTACATTGCTGGTAGGTTATCATTGCACAAATTAACACACTCTCTACGATTTAAAAAAAAATTAGAAGAGTTCTAAACTAACGTGCTGTCTTCACTGTATCTAACGCACACACTCTCAAGGCTGATTTATACTCGACGCGTCCGCAAGTTCGCTTAGGTGCGCGCGGCAGGACTTTCTGCGCAGCTCCGCTTCCGAAGATGCACGAGTTCAAAGCGACTCTAGCCGAACATGCACGTCTGTGCCAGCATTTATGTGAAACAGAACAGAAGCGGTTTGATGTTAAGTTCAGTCACACACACAGACCACGTTGTGACCGCACTCAGACATTCAGGAGCAAACTCTTTAGCGCTGCCCCGCAGTTTTATCAACTAAATAGCTTAATCGCTCAAGAGCTACATTATCTTTTTCAACAAGGAGCTGGTAACATTGTTTCTAAAGGAATTAAAGCCACAGCTTCACTGTTAATAGAGAAACACGGCAAAACGGTGGTAATTCATACATAAACAGCCTCTCTCTTTCTCTCTCTCTCTCATAAATGAACACTCGATGTTGATATTGAAGTGGAGATCGCTAAACTGCAAGCTAAAACTAAAACCGGTGTTTTCAGAAAGCAAGCGTGTTTATCCACAGTGGAGAGAGAGCGCGTACACAGGGTTGCCAGGTTGACAAAGATAAGTAACACACTTAGCAGATATTTCCGTATTGCGCAAGTGTGAAGCTCTGTTTTGGCGATTACGTCTCTTTATATCAGGCAACCCAGATGTGTTCCTCTGCGGCCAGATTAAACCTTGTTGTAGCCTATATATGCTCTATTCATTATTTTTTAGAAACTACTCAATTTTAAACGTTGTAAAATTAAGCGTGGTCCACTGCTGCACACGTGCCACAATATCGATACAGGGCCAGCTGTATCGATACT